GCCGATCAGATTCCGATCCCTGAAGATTTGAGGCAGCTGCAGAAAGAGGATACTGAAATTTCAAAATTGTATTCTCAGGTGGTTGAGGTCGCGGGGAAAGGGTCGAATGTATTCATGTTTCAAGGGAGATCTTTTTGTGTAATGAATGACTTGCTGTATCGTAAAACGGGGGATCAATTACAAGTGGTATTACCCGTTAGTGTACGTAATACAGTGATGACGTTGGGGCATTCCATTCCGTGGGCAGGACATTTGGGGAGGCGGAAGACGCATTCTAGAATTTGTAAGCATTTTTACTGGTTTGGTATGTCTAAGGACATCGCTGAATTTTGTAAAGCTTGCCCTGAGTGCCAATACAGCGAAATTCGCAAACCCCACAAAGTACCGTTAATTCCCTTACCAGTCACTGATATTCCTTTTCAGCGGCTGGGAATGGACATTGTAGGTCCGCTGGAGCGAAGTAAGACCGGCTATAAGTATATGTCAGTCATTTGTGACTATGCGATGCGGTTTCCAGAAGTGTTTCCATTAAAAAACATCAAAGCTAGGGCTATCGCTTCCTATCTGGTCCAATTCTTCTCAAGAGTAGGTATTCCGAAAGAAATACTGACCGATAGAGGAACGAATTTTTGTAATGTTTACTTTGTTTGCCATGGGCCACAAATGGCGTTTTCTCCGACATGCTGTGACTGACAATAGAACTATAAAATACACCAAAAATGCAACATAATTACGAAATGAAACAATTTTACCTGCATATTTCAGTCAATTGCGTTTTATATCCTTTTATATTCGCTATGAAATGGGTAGGTTAAGGTTTGGGGTAGGTTAAGGGGAATAAAAATCTAAATTGCTTATTAATAAAATGATAAAAAAGTGCTAAATATTATGTATTAATACCTACGTATAAACATGAGACTAGGCTGGCTGGTAAAGACCCATGAGCCATTCCTCTTTCTCTCAGAGTCTCTCTCTTTCTCTGAGGTAATGTTTGTCTTTCAGTGTATATCACATTGCTGTATTTCATTGCATTTCTCACCTGACTGGACTTCTCACCCTCTCATCTTACCTCTCTAGAGAGGCCCAGTCTGGGAGACTGTTTCACGGTAGGCCACCAGCTCCTCTTGGTCTGCACATTCATAAACTCTTGAGTGCTCATATCTCTTATTGTTTTTCTCTGTTTTCTCTCCTGCGTTGAATGAGCACATACTTACATAAACACAGTTTCTAACCTGACATACTTCCACTGAAGCCGACGTGTGTGTTGAGAGTGTTTCAGCAGTGTGACGGCTCCTGTCTGAGCGAGACATCCATCTGTAATCTGAGTGTCCCAGGCACATATCAGATCTCTCACAATTAGACTTGTGCCGGTATTCGGTAATGCGATATATCACGGTAATGAATATGCGCGATATTGTTATCGTGGGCACTTCTAAATACCGTGAATAATTATATATTACAAATTATTCCGAATTTTTAATGCATTTTAAGAATACTTTTCCCATCAACTGGTCAAAATGCACAACACCGCTGTATGCTGCTTGAAAGACGCGTGCGTGAGTGTAGGTTTAAGGGTGGGTTAAGGTGTAAGTAATGGGTCAACAGTGTAATTATAAATGTAATTAAAGAAATTAATTACAGATGTAATTACATACAGGTATTTTTAAAATATAAGTACAATGTAAAAACATGTATGTACACAGT